ATGTAGATGTATAGAGTGACCTATATAAAGCAGTGGAGATGGAAAAAAAAGTAAAAGAAATATATCAAACAAGATGCAGAAAGACTCACCACTTTGTTGTCCTCGTCATTTTCACTCACTTTCAGGCCAAACGAAACGAAACAAAACTAAACATTTTCATATAATAAAAAGTGGGAAGACTGGGGTTGTTGAACTTTTGTATGAGGTTGTACTTTATTAGTTATTTTGTCATTTTATTAGTTATTTAGTACAAGTTAAATGAAACAAAAAATAAAAAATGTTGCTTTGGCAACTAGTTAAAATAAAATGTTTTAAAAATATTATTTCACTTATTTTTAATAACTTTTATTTGAATCTTTTAGTTACCTATAATAACCCTGCTGTGACTGATTATTGTCAACCAGATTATATTGCACAATGCATCTTACTTGGTCATTTTTGGACATGATAGCCCCCTATCCACATTCAGGCGAATTATTCCTTTAAAACACATGCATGGCATTTTAACATGTTTACAATTGTTAACATGTGAGAGATTTGATCAGAAGGTCTTCAGGGAGGAACTGATTCGAGACCCTTTAGGTCTCTGAGGGAAAGGAAAGAGAAAGACAGAAGAGAAATAAGATCCCCAAGGCTGAACGTATTTGTTGTAAAGTCCTAAAGGAATCTGGGTTATCTCCTGGGATGAGCCTATCAACTTAACCTCATTTATAAACACAGGCACAGATGTTCGTTGTACAGTCACATCTATTGGAGAACTGATGGTGGAAATGCAGACACCATTAAATCAATATTAATTTAAATGTAATTCAGTGAATTTGCAGCAAAATGCATACAGAAAAATAAATGAGAATGGAACTTAAAAACTGATTTATAAATGGAAACATTTTAACATTTAACATTTTTAGCATTGAGTAGCAGTTCCATTTAAATATTTACATCATGAGGGCTTTATGATAGCATAATTTCCCGTTTTCTTCCTAAAAGATCAGGATTTATGCCAAGAAAAAAAACTATATAAGTTCTTAATTTATTAACCACTAGAGGGAGGAAAAAGACTTCATTCAATGACACAAAAACAGTAGCCTATGGAAACACATATTTACTTTTATCTATAAAAAGCAAGAAACTCTTTAAGACAAAAGTCTTTTGAATTTCAACTATCTTTAGGCTAAATACACATTTATGTAAACTCTGCTAGGCATATTGAAGAGGAGAAAAACACATGAAAACAGGTCATTTCAGCTCAGGGTTCAGAACCTGAGACACATAAAATACGCTGGAAAAGGGGAGGAAATTGCAATTGTAAACTGTATCAACTCAACCTTCAGGCAGTGGGTCAGGAGGCCCGGAAATCCTTACATTAACTGGCTTACTAACTTTGACAAATGTTTTTTCTTCACCAAATTATGTGATTGCCTTCTGCAGGGTATCTTATTGGATACGGTTGTTCTGCAGACATGCGCTATAAGACATCTGATATTACAGTATCTCCAATAAGAATCCACTAGAGTCATGTCACTGGAGGTAAACACATGGAGCTGTAGTTTTGCCTTAAGTATTAGATGCCAGGTTGAATTCACTTCATTTGCAGGAAATAATGCTCCAAAAAAAGCAGACCAAATAGTTATAAAAATCCTAAAATACAGATTTTATGCGTGTATGAATAAAAATAATTATTATATATATATATATGGATTTTTTTTTGGTATATCAAAAGTAAGCAATAAGGGCATTTTGAAAGTTTTATGGAAAATATTTACTTTTTTGCAAAGTATCACTGAGAAAACGAAAATATTTGCTCAAATGAAAAGTGTTTGTTGTGTTTCGTTGGCAGACAATTGAGCATGTTTTGCCTCCTTTACCATTTCTCCAGCAGGCATCATTTCATTTCGTAAATTAAATTAAAAGAATTTTCACAATATAAACATATTCAGGCAAGCCTCTGTAGCTAAAACAAAACAAAATCTTGGTGACAGAAATATTATACTGCACAAAAATGAAGACTGGGTCTAATTTTGTAGTCATTAACGTTAATTGTTGAATGTCTGGTGAAATTCTGTGAAATAACTGAAAAAATGTGTTTGACCATCATCTAAGCAGCTTCAGAGGTTGGTCTGAACCATCACTGACCTACCAGTGGATCACTTCAGGTTAATGAGAAATACACTTATAAAGACCTCTAGGCAAAATGACCTGCTGTTTTTAGGCAAACTCCAGGATGTGCAGGAATATATTTTCCATCCGAATTAACATCTCTGAGTTTGAGGATTTGATAGAAGAAAAAAAAAAGTGAAAATATTTATTGACCACTGCTATGTGTCAAAGCCATACTATTGTACCCGACTCTATGCAGCACTAAGAATATGCTGATTCTGGATATAATGGAAGTTTGGAACTGAGAAACGTTAGAAATTTACTGCTTGGAAATTAAGATGCCACCACAAAAATCACTAATGAATTACAAGAAGAAATTTGAAATCATGTAAACTGTAAACACGGGTCATTAAAATGGCAACAGGTGTATAAACCATTAACTAACACTAACCATAACCCTATCTCACTCAAATGTTTGGGGTTATATATTTACATTTACATTTAGCAGACGCTTTTATCCAAAGCGACTTACAAATGAGGACAATAGAAGCAATCAAAACTAACAAAAGAGCAACAATATGTAAGTGCAAATGACAAGTCTCGGTTAGCCTAACGCAGTACACGTAGCAAGGTATTTCTTTATTTAGATATATATATATATATGTGTGTATGTGTATATATATATATACATACACACACACAAAAACAAGTAGATAGAATAGATAAAGTAGAATTAAAATAGAATATAAAGTGTTAGAGTTAGAGGGTCAAATAAATATGGAACAGATGTGTTTTTACTCGTTTCTTGAAGATGGGTAAGGACTCGGATTGAGTTGGGCAGGTCATTTCACTAGGAGGGAACAGTTAATGAAAAAGTCAGTGAAAGTGATTTTGTGCTTCTTTGAGATGGCACAATAATACGCCGTTCACTTGCAGAACGCAAACATGAATGCATGAACTAGCTTTTCTGCATCAGAAACAGGTAACATATTTCGTAGTTTGGCAATGTTTCTAAGATGGAAGAATGCTGTTTTTGTAACATGGGAAATATGGTTTTCAAAAGACAAGTTGCTATCTAATATAACACCCGGATTTTTGACTGTAGAGGAAGTAACCGTACATTCGTCTAGTTGCAAATTGTAGTCCATGAGATTCTGTGTACTGTCTTTTGGTCCAATAAGTAATATCTCTGTCTTATCCGAGTTTAATAGGAGAAAATTATTGGTTATCCAATCTTTTACATTTTTAACACATTCTGTTAGCTTAGATAATTTAGAAGTTTCATCTGGTCTTGTTGAGATATATAGTTGAGTATCATCAGCATAACAGTGGAAACTAATCCCGTATTTTCTAATAATATTACCAAGGGGCAACATGTATATCGAAAATAGCAGAGGACCTAGGACAGATCCTTGTGGCACTCCATATTTTACTGGTGATGATTGCGATGACTCCCCATTTAAATTAACAAAATGGTAGCGATCGGACAGGTAGGATCCGTGATGGGTTTGTTGAAACCACAAGCAGTTCTGTCTTAGCCAGGTTGAGTTTAAGGTGATGGTCCGTCACCCAAAAAGAAATGTCTGTTAGACATGCTGAGATGCAAGCAGCTATCATCGGATCATCAGGATGGAATGAGAGGTAGAGTTGAGTGTTATCAGCATAGCAGTTATATGAAAAGCCATGTTTCTGAATGACAGAACCTAGTGATGCCATGTAGACAGAGAAGAGAAGTGGTCCAAGTACTGAGCCCTGAGGCACCCCAGTAGCTAGATGTTGCGACTTGGACACCTCACCTCTCCAAGATACCTTGAAGGACCTATCTGAGAGTATAATATATATATATATAATTATTTTTTTTTAAAGAAGTCATTCATTTGATCAAAAATACAGTAAAAACAGTAATATTGTGAAATCTTATTACAATTTTAAAAGTGTTTAATCTATTGTCTTTACTGTGACTTGGAACAATTTAATGCATCATTGCTGAATAAAAGTATAAATTTCTTAATACATTAAAACACTTCATACACATCAAATATAATCCATATGGTAAAATATGACTTCTAGGTTCATCAAACAACAGAACCCCCGAGTTATAATTACTGTCTGAATAGGGCTGAATTTTATCAGACATGAGCAGAACAGATCACATGTGCAAATGAAAAAAAGAGACAAAAATAATGCATCAGAGGCAGCTGTGTTTAGAACATGTAGAGTTTGTCAAAACATAAAGGACTCATTATTGGCCAGCAATGGGAACTCTGTGATCATCTACAACATAATTGCACGTTTAGAGTACTGTATGTATAACTGTATTTCAACACTTACTTGTAGTTCTTTCTGTAGTAAAAGCATTGTATTATCAATCAAAGTATGAAATTCAATTCAAATTCTAAATGAATAGAAATCCTTGTTCCAATAAATCGACACCAGACAAAAATAGGCACAGCTTGTATAAGTACAGGCGTCATCGTATGATTGCTTTAAAAAAAAAAAAAAAAAACTTTTAGAGTTAAAAGGCTCAGCTTCAGCTGAAGAAATCTGTTGCAGTTCATTCCACCAGGACAGAGGAGTTCCTTGACCACCCACAAAAAGCACAGAGTGAAGGAGAAAATCCTTTTTTAAAGTGTGTATTAGGTAGGCCTGTCGCAATAATCGATATATCGACTTATCGCGCAATATATGTACATGACCGCAATAATTTTTGGTGACGCAATATATCGCACATTATATTTACTTTAAGGTATCTAATATTTTTATACTTATTTTCCATGATCTAAATATTCTTAAAAATTAAAAGTTTGTTGTCATTTGGAAGTGTGTAGGCCTTCTTGCATTATTATTCAGTGGCATAAAATGGTCTTTAAAATGACAATAATATCACTTATCGCAATTATTTCTGGGGCAATATATCGCACAACAAAAAGTTGTTATCGTGACAGGCCTAGTATTAGGGACTACAGCCATCAGTCAGTGATTCCTCGATGTCCAGTCTGTGAGGTAGAGCTGCAATACATCAGTCAGTTTGTCAGTCACTGGCATGGCTTCTGATGAAACGGATGCCATGGAGGTTGAGTCCAGGATACCTGCGTTCTCAGGTAGAGATCCTCACCCTCACTTGGGCTCATAGCTCATCGTGGCTCCTGGTAAGGTCTTCACCGTAGTTGGTGGCCTGGCTGCCCACAAACATGTTCCAGTTCTCAAGAATCTCTTCTTTGGTCAGCATCTGGTCCTAAAAATGGTTAGTTTGACTGGTTATATTGCTCATTTGTAAGATGCTTTGGGAAAAAAGCGCCAGCTTAATTCATAAATGTAATGTGTGTTCGCAATAGTGACTAATAGAGTCTTCTACTTGAATCCATGACATTGGCAACTCTGGTATTGATGATAAACATGTTTAACATGCGTGTTCCTGTGACTGAACGTCAGCCAATTTTTCACACAAAACATTAAATTGTCATAAAATTGTTGGTAAAATTAACTTTTCTGGTAAAGGTATCTTTAAACAGTTGGAAATCTAGTAAGATATATTTAAAAAAAAGATCATTGCAGCTGTATGTACAATGTACACAATGTTTAATAGCTAAAAATAATATCTAATCTGCCTTGGGACATCAATTTTCAGGAATTACTCCAATTAATTGTCCTAAAATTACTGATCAAGTAACTGATTAAAAAAAAAAATAAATAAATAAATATATAAATATATAAATAGAATACCATTCAAAAGTTTGGGGTCCATTTTTTAATGTTTAGAAAGATGTCTTTTATGCTCACCAAGGCTGCATTTACTTTATGAAAAATACAGTAAAAAGATTAATATTGTGAAATATTATAACAATTTAAAATAACTGTTTCTTATTATATTTTAAAATGTAATGTATTCCTGTGATGTAAAGCTGAATTTTCAGCATCATTACTCAAGTCTTCAGTGTCACGTGATCCTTCAGAAATCATTCTAATATGCTGATTTGCTGCTCAAAAGACATTTATCAATGTTCAAAAACCAATCAATGTTAAAAAAGGTGTTCTGTTTAATATTTCAGGATTCTTTGATAAACAGAAAAAAACAGCATTTATTTGAAATATGATTTCTTTAATAATGAAGTCACTCTGATGTGTGTCTGCTGAATAAAAGCTTTAAAAAAAATAAATTGTACTGAACAAAAACTTTTTAATGTTAATGTGTATCAAATAAATTACTACATTTAAATAACTTCATACTTAAGGTATTTTTCTCCTGATTAATCTTTAGTATGCATCTCAGTAGGTTCTCACCTTGTCTGTGTCTGACTCGTACACCAGATGCCGGGCCTCTGCCTGCGCGTGGTCATAGTCCTGCGGCAGGATCCAGTGACGAATCTCTTCTAAATCCATCTTCCCGTCTTTATTCAGATCTCTGAAATCTGAAAACTGGTCTCTCTCTGTTCTAACCCAGTCTGGCTCTGGGCCGCCATCTTCGTGAGCAAACATGTCCGCTGTAAAATAGCAAAAAAGACTGAAAATGTCTTCCCTTGGATACAGAACATTAAAAGGATAGTTCACCCCAAAAATGTCAATTTTGTCAAGAGTTTCAGTGTCTAAAACTCACAAAAAGTTATCATAAGTGTTTCGTCCTTCATACAAAAATACAGATGAACCTACCAATGTATTCGTCCTCATCTACATGACCATCTCCATTCTTGTCAATGTCCTCCAGAGTTTCCTGATAGAAGAAAGTACAGTAAATGGGAAAATCAGTTACTTTATGAAATAATAGCATGATGGTTATTTCCAATAGTCTGCATAATTAAACTGACAGTAAGTACCACAGTCTAAATTCCAAACCCCATAATCCAAGTGACACTCACAAGAACCACAATTTCCTGCATGTGCTCAAACTCTTCTGGGTGGAGGAAAGCAGTGAACTCCTCTCGCTCTGCAGCTAAATCACCATTGAGATCAGCAGCTTTAAATCTGCGTTCATCTCGCGGAAGCATCTTCTTGAAGCTGAACTGGTCTGTTGCATCTTCAAACTCTTCTGGATTGGCTGGGAGAAGAGAAGATGAATCTCATGAAGGTGGCAATTTTTTGACATTTAATCAGTATTAAAACTTTGAGAAGTTTCAGATCAGAATGACTCACCAAGGTAGTAACCGTAAGTTGCTTGCTTATATTCATCCCATGAGATCTTGTTGTCTTTGTTCAGGTCATAGTCAGACCAGACCTTTGCAACGTTCTCATAGACGTAACGTTTCTGTACTCTCTTGATCCAGGCCTTGAGTTCATCAGTGGTAATATATCCATCAACATCGCTGTCAATACGATCAACTATTTTCCTAGGGAATTTATAAGTGCATAGAAAGAAAAAAAAAAAAGAGAATAAAATGGAAACTTACAGAGAATAAATATTAGAATGGACACCAGAGTAACATTTCTAGCTTTTCACCTCAAACATGGTGGATCAATCCAATTCTAGAAGATTCAATTCAAAGCTAGAAGAACTTGACTGGTCTGCAACTCTGCATAAAGTCTAATCCCAGATAAACACCTCTGGTGTGACTTTAAATGCAGACCTTGAGCTAAAAACTCATCACCAAACACCAATGACTTGTACATATGGGTACAGTCATTTTAGACACTTCCAAAACTTTTGCAACAGAGATGGAAATACAATTTTTAAATACATGAATTATGTTTCCATCTTTGTTGCCACAGTTTTGGAGGTGCTTTTTTCTGTTCTAAAGAAGGGGGGTCCCAATACTTTTGTCCATATTCTGTATGTACAAGTCATTGGTGTTTGGTGATGAGTTTTTGGCTCAAGGTCTGCATTTAAAGTCACACCAGAGGTGTTCAGCTGGGATTAGACCAGTCAAGTTCTTCCACACTGACTAAATCAATAATTTCTTTTTGAACCTTGCCTTATACACAGAGGCATTGTTGGGTTAGAATAGAAAAGGGTCCTGTTCAAACTATTGGTATAAAATTAGACGCACACAGTGCCCTAGTATAGCATTATATGATTTATAAAGTTTTAGCTTTTAGTTTTGGATCTGTTTTTAGTTGTTTTAATACTACAATTGATTGCTTCTGTTGTCCTCATTTGTAAGTCGCTTTGGATAAAAGCGTCTAATAAATGACTAAATAAATAAATAAATAAATATATATATATATTACTTTTATACTGCGATATTATTTTTTTGTTTTAATAAAAATATATATTTTTATGGATGCTAAAATGTTATAGTATTGCTATTATTAACAATGACTGGTTAATTTCCAACATAAAGGTGAGCATATTTAAACATATTTGCTATGGATGTTTTTATTATTATTATTAATATTATTTTAATAATTTGCATTATTCATTGATATTTATTACTCAGTGATATCTCTCATTACTGTAATACTACCTTGATAATCTCAAATGAAACGCACGTTATATATTAAGCACTAAAAGCACTATATATATTTTAAAACGTAATAAAATATTTTACCTTTTTTTATATTAAAACATTTTTTAAAACATTTTATTTACCTATATTTGCATTTCATGTCATATACTTCGTTTTATTTAAGCAAAATATAATTTCTTATTTCTTTATGCTTATTTTTGGTTGAAATACGACCCAGAAATGTTCTTGACAGAAACCAGAGTGCAAGTGACTAGAAGACTGTCAACAGCACATTATTTTTATCTCTGATGCCACGTTGTGTACAATTGATTGCTTCTGTTGTCCTCATTTGTAAGTCGCTTTGGATAAAAGCGTCTAATAAATGACTAAATAAATAAATAAATAAATATATATATATATTACTTTTATACTGCGATATTATTTTTTTGTTTTAATAAAAATATATATTTTTATGGATGCTAAAATGTTATAGTATTGCTATTATTAACAATGACTGGTTAATTTCCAACATAAAGGTGAGCATATTTAAACATATTTGCTATGGATGTTTTTATTATTATTATTAATATTATTTTAATAATTTGCATTATTCATTGATATTTATTACTCAGTGATGTCTCTCATTACTGTAATACTACCTTGATAATCTCAAATGAAACGCACGTTATATATTAAGCACTAAAAGCACTATATATATTTTAAAACGTAATAAAATATTTTACCTTTTTTTTAATATTAAAACATTTTTAAAAACATTTTATTTATCTATATTTGCATTTCATGTCATATACTTCGTTTTATTTAAGCTAAATATAATTTCTTATATCTTTATGCTTATTTTTGGTTGAAATACGACCCAGAAACGTTCTTGACAGAAACCAGAGTGCAAGTGACTAGAAGACTGTCAACAGCACATTATTTTTATCTCTGATGCCACGTTGTGATGTTAAGAGAGACTGGAGAGGGAGTTCTGTGGGAAGAGGACGAGGTAGTTTTCCAGCTCAATGGGTGAGCTGGAAACTTGTTACATCATTGGCAAGAAACGAGATAAACCCTGATATTCGACACATTTCTATATTTAACATGACAGTGTGGCAACCACCATGCAGGAGGGATTTTGTTGTCATGTGACAGCAAAGACATAAAATAGACAAATGAAGTACCCCTGTGGAAAATGATGTAAATTCTTCCATTTCTAACAACTTCACACGTTTTATATTTGATTCTTAATCTATTTCTACTTTTTGTCATTTTTAACAGGCTTATCTGTCATCGATCCACATATAAAGACATGCTTCAATGCTTAAGTAGCTCTTCTGAACAAAACCCCCAGTCTTACCCTAATCTGGTTTTGCTTTCCTCTGGGGTGAGTTGATCAAATGTGGTGGCCTCCTCTTTGCCCAGAAAGGCCTCGTGGTCGTACTGATAGCTCTGGTTATCTTCGTGGGGTTGCCTGATCAGTTCAGGCTCGTGAAGAACTCTTTCTTTCCTGAGAGTGGGTTTCCCGTACGCCAGACACGTGCAAAGCGACAAAAACCATAAATACGTCGAGACATCCATGCCTGAAGGACGCAATCCAAAGCAAAGAGAGCGTTTAAAACTGGCACAAAGTTGTAAGCTCAAACTAAGTTACGTGATCGACCACCGTCAAAATCGCAGAAGCTGCGGTTGCCAAGGAGACGCGTTTCAATTGTTATCAACTCAGAACAAAACAATCAGAGCACAAGTCAGTTCTTTTCATTTTCGATTCAAACATACCCGGCGGATCACTGAAGGCTACAACCAAACTAAGAATGGGTGCGTGTCAAGCGACTGCAAATCATAACACGGATAGCATGCAGGCGGAATGTTAGAAGCTCTGCTATTGGTCAAACGGTTGTCTTTAACCCGAGATGGGCGTGGACGCCACGTTGCAAGATGACACGCAGAAGCGTCTGTTTAGGAATCCCATAGTAGGAGAACTTAAAATTATAGTATTACAATTTTGATCATAGCTAAAAAAAAAAGGTATAGTGTTATTATTAGTGATAAGTTAATTTCCGGCATGAGACTGAACATATTTAAACAGATATTTGCATTAAACAGTCGTTAACATGAAAAATGTTTACTAGATTTATTACCCACTCCAATGCAGCTGTAAAATGTATTTCCTAAAACGTAATGTCAAATAACCGTAAAAAGATAAGTCAATGCTATGAAGTTAGGCATCGTGAAGTAGTAGCTAACACACTACTGTGTCAGATACAACTATGTTTCATTAAAGCACCAAATTGAGCTGATTTAAACTGACAGAGCAAATATAATTTAAATACATTAACAATTAATTACTCAAATAAAAGGCCACTGGCCTTAGGCTAGTTTCATAACAGAGCTGTGGCTCTCAGTTTGTGCTGGAAAGATGGCATGTGTTACCATATTATGCAAATAATGAATGACAAAATTCATGTTGGCCTGTTTGTAGAGAGGAATCGGAGATGACACTGGCAGCAAGTTATTCCATCAGTACATTACATGAGCGGATGCAAATTTAAAACATATGGAAATATTTATTAATTTGTGAATAAATTCATATGAACATTTTGACAAGATTCGCCTAAAACTACACTGGCAACATCATAGATGTTTGCATTTAATTTAATTAGCTAATTTATTTTTATAGTGGAGGCTGGCAGAAAGCTGGCCTATAGAAAAAAGACACACCTTTCACTTTTAACAATGTAAATGTAAATCTATATAAGATAAAGACACTTTCTTGATGATCGACTATAGGCTACTCCTTGCAAACTGATTCCACATAACATTTCTTCAGTACTTGGGCAAATAATTGTTGTGCTGCCATGCTTAACATAAAGAGCAAGGATAAAATTACTTTCTGTCTCTTAACCATTGATCTGCAGACCTTTCGTGCACATGAACTGTGTGTTCACTCACTGTGCCTACATTAAAAAGCCTTTTGCAAATGGAAGGCATCAGTGAGGAGAATAGTATCATAGCACCATGTTATAATGATAAATGATCCTTTGAGCATTGGGAAAGATTTAAAAAATTGTTTCATGCACAATCTATTTTATAGATTTTAATCTAGCTTTACATTACCAGTTTTATGCCATTAATCAAATGGAAATATATTGATGGTGAGAATACGGTGGTTATTCGGATGAGCAAGGCCAGAAGAAACATTAGTTCACTCTTCAGATAACTTTTCAAACCTATATACAGTACATGCATTTATTTAAGAAAAAGAAGGAATTTCCATAAGATGACAATAGGAATTTATAGAAAAGCATTATGGTTCTGGTGGATTGAAATTGTTCCTTTATAAGCTTACTGTTATTTTGTTAGACGCTAATGCTGATACTGCACCTCTTGTGGTTATTTTCAGTTTCTAAACCCGAAGGCTTTATTAATCATCTCATCAGACAGAGGAAGTGTTAATTCATTAGTTTGGCTCCCAGCACTAATTTTCTATTAATTAGAATAGTTTTCATAGCCATGTGTCTTATATTCAACAATATATGGCATAGTACTGACAATTCATTAGAGAAATTAGACAACTGACCATGATTGTAACACTGCTGATTAACTGCCAGGCCAGTCCAACGACGAATAAAGAAAGTACACAGAGAAGAAATCACAATTTATATACAGCATACTGTTGAAAAAAAAAAAGATTTGAATATATATGTTATTATTTAATATGTATATATATATTGACATTTTCTTTAACCCTAACGTATATATCGAGTTAAATATTGAGTTATTTTCAGCTTTAATACATTTAATATTTTTAAAATATTTTTTTTAATATTTATATTGTAATTTCAAATTTTTGGGAAAGTCATTGAAAAGTCAGAACCAGTGGTCAAAAAAGCAGTGAATCCTGAAGTAAATAACTCTGTGTGAGAGCAGCATATGTTTGCTACATTCTAATATAACACACACACACTCATAATCTCCATCATCCAAGCCTTTAAAGCTATAATATCTGTTATTCAGTATCTATCAAAAAAGATCACAGAAGGGAAGGTTGAACAAGGAGAAGATAATCAGGGGGTGACACCAAATGCTTCCTGTGATCTGAAATCTGGAAGTGACATAAGATGCAAAACTGATTGAGAGGAAACAAAAGCAAGCAAGATGTGCTTTTGGGTGGAGTGAGTGATGTGATGATTATAACCATCAAGCTTGGACTGAAACACAGACACATCTCTTCATAGTTAGCCAGCTGGAGCGCCTCATGAGAACTCAAATGCTTTAGGGTCCTGCGAAAAGAAATAGACATATTCTCGTTCAAACTGCGTGATCTTGGTACACTGGGGGAAAAAATCACCAAATTAAAAACTTAAAGGAATGGTTCACTCAAAAATGAAAATGTGCTCACTCTCTCTCAGGCCTTCTAAGATGTAGACGAATTTGTTTCTTAATCAGAACACATTTGGGAATAATAAAAACATCACAATAATCCACACGGCTCCATGTACATCGATTAATATCTAGTAAAGTGAAAAGCTGTGTGTTTGTAAGAAAGTTATTATGGATTATGAACACGTTTTTAGGCTGGCTGCTATGGTTTGAAGTTAAAAACATCTTGATGACAATTTGTTTTTTACAAACACAGAGCTTTTTTCTTCACAAGATGTTAACTTGGAGTCGTGTGGATTAGCCTACTTGTGGATTAGTGTGATGTTTTTATCAGCTAGTTTTATAGAATCAAGTAACTAACTAAAACCAACATTTCTAGAAAAATGAACACTTGAACATACATTAGTGTAATATGAAATACGTAAAATGACATAAACCATCTTTGGGAAAAATTATTTTGAAGTGTAGTTAGATTTACATGAAGTAAAGAAGTTTTATTTGTTTTATTTACATGAAGAAGGCGGGGTTTATGACCTATAATGCAGCCAGCCACCAGGGGGCAATCGAGTACATTTTCAGCTAATTTTATTTATTTATTTTTTTGGTGAACTATTTAAGTATAGTTGCTACCTTAAATTTTTAAGTATGATAAAATTGGCTGTACAAGTCATTTCAACTCATCTTTAAGTTTCGTTGAACCTCATATAACAAAAAAATAAAGTTGAAATGGGTTAAATTATTTTGTTAATGGAGTTAACGGAAAAACATTTTGCCATTACTTATTGATCATATCATTGGCATTTTTACAGTGTACAAGCACAAATGAATTACACATTGTGCTTTCTGTTGCATATAAGACAGTAACAAAAATCTAGATTTTTTAAATTTTATGAAACAAGTGCATAGTCACCGCCACAAGACTAAGGAGTTTTAAAAAGTTGGGGAAACCCATCTTTCTGCAAAAGATGCCTACAATTAATATCTAGCACAAACAGTTTAGTACTTGATGTTAGGGGCTTGTTCAAATTGACATAATTAAAAGGGTCATATGATGCGATTTCAAGTTTTCCTTTCTCTTTGGAGTGTTACAAGCTCTTGGTGCATAAAGAAGATCTGTAAAGTTGCAAACCTTGCTTTTTCAGACCGATGAGCTTTGTAAAAATCAACGCGTTTCAGAAAGGCGGGGCATAGAGGAGAAACAATAATGTACAGTATGTGGAAAATAATGTGTTTTTTTAACCTTAAACCGCATAAACACATTTCATTACACCAAATACACAAAATAATGTTATTTTTAGCAGCATCATATGACCCCTTTAAAGTTAGAAATTCACCTAAAACATTTGAGCCCCTTTTTCATCCTCGCCTTGTCTCTCTTTCAAGGTCCCCCTCAACACACCCCCACGGCCCCCGGAATGTGCCAGGAATGTCAGATGATTAATAGCTGATTAGTGCTCATTAATAAGGGTCTGCAGAGCCTGTAGTTCTGCCACTGCAAAGGTCACACTCAGCAAAGGGGGCAGATGGGTAGTCTTTCTTTTAGCTACTGCAATTCTTTGGCCAGTTATCCAATGCTTCAGCCAGGCCCAGAGGCGACTACAGCGTCACACAATCATTAAATGATTTCTGACCTCAATGAGCTGGCTGGTGCAAAAGTATTGTATATGCTTTAACATATTATGATGAGTTAAAAGAAAGTGGGTGTTGTAGTGGTTAAAGACCTAACGTGGTAGGTCTTTATTTGAAATGCAGGAAGGAGCAATACCTACATTAATTAACATCATTGTAGTCTCAGTTTGGCCACAGTCTGTGCATAATGAATACACATTTAGCAAAACATGACTGAAATCAACAGCTGCAATCAGATCTAACCTGTTTATAGCCATGTGGACTGACACTGCTGTTAATGAACATCTGAAAGACGTGTGAGCGGTAGGGTTGTGCACAGTATTGAGAAGGTTGGAAATGTAATAGGTTACAGATTACAAGTTTCCCTATTTAAAATGTAATAAGCAGTTTAACTATTTCAATTACTTTATTAAAGTAATGTAACTGATTACATTTGATTACTTTTCAAAATTTTTAACTGTTAATCATTTTGAAACATTTAAAGCAGGCAGGGTTAACCTTACAGCTGTACTCAACACTGATTACAGTAGACTTTCAAAATTCTTCATAACTTGAATTAAGATTATAATCATTTAATTTTAAATCACAGCCACTACAAAATCAGACTTTAGCCCCTCTTTTTACTTTGAGATCATTCTGAGGTTAAATACAGATTTATTAATTTCATTTCCATTTAATAGCTATGATATGGTTTTTGAAATCAAATCTTTGCATAGCTGTGACAGGAAACACTGGCACTTAAAACAAACAGTTAATCTTAAAAAAAAATAAAGCGTATAAACCCAAATAGGAAATAAAATAGTTA